CATGCCTGGAAGGCTCTCCCTCTTCATCTTGGACTACTGACCTTACTGGCTTCATTTAAGTCCTAACAAAAATCCCATCTTTGACAGGAAGCCTTCCCTAGCACTTCTTAATTCTAGGGCCTTCCTTTTTTTAATTACTTCCTATTTATCCTGTATATAGCTTGCTTTGTATGTATTGTTTTCATGTTGTCTCCTTCGTTAAGTTGTAAGTTCCTTGTGGGCAGGGACTGTCTTTTGCCTCTTTTTGTATCCTTAGCGTTTAGTGCAGTGCCTGGGACACAGAAGGTAATTAATACATGTTTATTGAATGAAGGAAGTGTCTCCTATGTTTAAGGCACTATGCTTTGAGTATTCAGAGATAAAAATGAAACAGTTCCTGCCTTCAAGGAGCTTTCATCCTACTGAATAGAGAATAGCTTACATTTGATTTGGCACTTAGAGGGCTTAAAACATGCGTCAAAAGCCCATTTTGAGGAGAAACATAAGGTTCTAGGGTATAGAGGTGGAAAGAGCTTCAGAGATTATTTAATCTAACCTTCTCTTGTCATAGATGAAGACATGAAGGCTCAGAGAAGGTAAATGACTTTGTCTGAGGTTGCATAAAGTGGTGTCCTGACACACTGCAGAAATTTAACCAAGGTTTCAGAATATGATGTGATTTTATCTGGTCTCCATCACTTTAAGGTTCTCAAAGCACTTTCCCTACAACTGAGGTATAGATATTATTTTTCTCATCTTATATATAAGGAACCCAAGGCTTAGAAAGGATAATTAATGTGCTCATGTTTGCACAGCTAGCAGGTGTCAAGGCCAGAATTTGAACCCCCCAGATCTCCTGACTCTTAAGTTTAACAGATGTTTTTTCCCCTTAAAAATAAAAGATCTTACTGATACTTTTTTTATTGATGTTTTTCTTTATACTGTCACTACCTAATACACCCCACCCCCACCACCTTCTCTAATAACAAAGAAAAAGTTAAGTCCCTAATTTCCTCCCCCCACAAAAACACTCCTACAACATGGGGACTGTGTCTGACAGCACATGCAACAATTCAAATCCACAGACCACTGTCTCTACAGAAAGGAGGGAAGTGAGTTTCATAATTAATTTTCTGGTATCAAAATTAGGAGTTGTGTATAATCTGAATTCTGATGTCTTTTAATGTTTGTGACTATTTCCATTTTTCTTTGAATTCTCAGGACTTAGCACAGTGCTCAGTCAACAGTAGGTGCTTAATAAATGCTTAATGATTTTTATTTATATTATTGCAGTCATTGGGTATGTTGGTCTTTTGGTTTGTCTCATTTTGTTCTGCATCAGTGTCTTAATGTAATCTGAGTGAGACTCAGGAGCCCAGGATGGAGGACGAGGAGTGGGAGGCAGTTTCTGTTATGTGCCACTTATGTTTCTATGTATATATGTGTAATGTACATATGTATATGTGAATATATGTATATATAGTGTAGCCCCCACAATAGAATGTAAGCTCCTAGAGGGCAGAGGTTTTTTTTTTTCATCTTTATAACCCTTTTGGGGGTCATGGTAGCACCTGTTAATAAATGCTTATCAAATTAAACTTAATTGGAAAGGTGAAGACAGGATGCTGTTAGATCCAAAAAGGAAGAAGTAGTTATCAAAATATATATAAGGAAAGAGGAAAAACTTAATAGGTAAAGTAGAATTTGAGTTGGATTTTTAAAGGATAGGTAGGAATTCAACAAGGCTAGGTTCTATCTCCACAAGGATTGTTTCACTGGAAGATGGTTTCTGGAGCTGGAATGAAGGAAGGACATTCTAGGTAGAGGGAACGGCATTAGCAAAGGTACCAAGGCAGACATAGGGAATAGCAAATAGTCTATTTTGGCTGGAGTTTGTCATTTTTGGTGAGGGAGTAATGAGGTGCAAGGTTGTTGTAGGCATTGAATGCCATGTTAACAAGTTTGAATTTAACTGGCAATGGGATTTTGAGCATTGGTGTTACAGAGTCAGATGCGTACATGAAGAACACAGTAAGGCGGTGATAGGAAGTATGAATCAGAGAGATAAGAGACTGGTGACAGTGAGATGGCACTAGGTTTTGAGCCAGAAGGTTCTCTGCCATTAATTTGCTATGTGACCTTGGGAAAGTCACATCCACTCTGAGCCTAGGTTTCCTTACAACAATCACTAACATTTACAGTGTTTCAAGATTTCTGAAATGCTTTACATGCATGACCTTATTTGATCCTTACCATAACCCTGTGAAGTAGGGACTATAGGCATTTTTTTATTCCCATTTTTACAGGTTTGGAAGAGAGGATAATTGAGTGGTTGCTCAGCTAGCGTCAGAGCAGATATTCAAATCTTGACTCCAAGTTTCTTTTTTTGGGGGGGGGGTTAGGCAATTGGGGTTAAGTGACTTGCCCTGGGTCACACAGCTAGTAAGTGTCAAGTGTTTGGTCTAAGGCCATATTTGAACTTAGGTCCTTCTGACTTCAGGGCCGGTGCTCTATCTACTGCGCCACCTAGCTGCCCCTCCAAGTTTCTTTTTCTGCTACCTGATGCTGTCATCTGTATGATGAGGAGATTAAGAAAGATAATCTCTGAAGTCTTTTCCAGCCTTGACATCCTATGTTCTAAAATCTCTTTTAGGTCTGCAGCTAATAACACTATGAAACAAGGTTCATCAATTGGGGGAAGGAAGGAAATAAGCACTTATTAAGCACCTACTATGTGCCAGGCATTGTACTAAATGCTCTACAGATATTATCTCAGTTGTTCTTCCCAACAACCCTGTGAGGTAGGTGCTATTATGATCCCAATTTTACAGTTGAGGAAACTGAGACAGAGAAATATTAAATGACATGCTCAGGGTCATACAACTAATAAGTGGCTGAGGCTGGATTTGAACTCAGGTCTATCTGACTCCAGGGTCAGTGCTGCTCTAAGAGCTGGGGATACAAATAGGAAGCAAGACAGACCCTTATTTTAAGGTACTCATACTTCAAAAGGTGGAGATAACTTGTATAGGAGGCTTCAGCTGCAAATCATATGAAAAGGCCCCATGATCCTCAGGGCGCAGTGACAAAGCAGATGGTAATGCATTTTCTTTAATATATAATTTTCATTTTAAAAAAGTACGTAGATTTTTTATTATGTTGAACCATTTGACAGTGCCAAGACTTAGGTGAGCATTTCCTTTTCCCAATTTCCTTCAGATCTCTGCTAAAATCTCATCTTTTGCAAGAAGTCTTTCCTGATCCCTCTTAATGCTAGTGCCTTCCCCCAATCTCATCTCCAATTTATCCACTATATATCATTGTTTGCAGTCTGTCTTCCCCATTAGACTGTGAGCTCCTTGAGAGCAGTGAGAATTTTCTTTGTCTTTCTATCTCCAGCCTGGCATTAATAAATGCTTCTTGACTTGAGTCTAGGTTTTCAGTAGCTGTGGCTGCTGAGGAGCAGGTTGCATCATCTGCAGAGGCAGCTGCTAGGTTCTATCTCCACAGGGATTGTTTCACTGGATGATGGTTTCTGGAGCTGGAATGAAAGCCAGGCTGTGAGTGTAGAGGCAGTACTATTCCTGAGGCTCTTGGGCTCAGGGTCCTGGGCTGTCTCCAACAGAGTGTGAGAGCACGTGGTTATTTATTAAAAACTATGCCAGGCACTAAGCCAAGTGCTGAGGATACAAAGACAAAAATGAAAAAAGTCCCTACCTTCAAGGATGTTATATTTTACAGAATAACATAGAGAAATACTTTTGGTAGAAGCTAGTTGTTCTAAGAGGCAGAGGTGAAGATGAGCATGCCAAGTATAGTGGACAACCTGTGCCAAGGCACAAAGTGGGAAAAAGGAATATTCTGTGGGAGGAACAGGAAGAACAGTTTGGTTAGGATGAATGAACAAATAAAGCAGTAAGCACGCTTACTATATGCAAAGCACTGTCCTAAATAGAAATAGCAAGATAGTTCCAGCTTTCAAAAGAGCTCTTCTAATAGAGAGACAACTCATGGAAGGTTTCAGCTTCAAGTCAGATGGAAAAGTCTCACAGTCCTTAGGGTGCAGTGACAAAGCAGCCCTTACCCATCCTTCCTGGATCAACATCCTATCAGTTTCTGCTTAGCACAGTGCCTGGCACATAGCAGACACTTAATCAATGTTTAGTGATTGGTTGATTTTGAACAGTGTCAAGGACATAAGTGGTAAGAACTTTGCTTTCTGGGTCTTCGGGGGCTGTAGCACCTGCAGGAGAGGTTGTGAGACAGCATCTCCACTGGGGTTGATGTCTGATGATCCACTGAGGCACAGGTGAAGGTGAGCATGCCAGTCATGGGGGATAGCCTGTGCCAAGTCACCAAGTGGGAAAATGGAATGTCCTGTGTGAGGAATAGGAAGGTGCCTTTGGCTATCCTTTCTACTCTGGGCTGGAAGCATTGCTATCCCCAGGGTTCCTGGGTTCAGGATCCTGAGCTGTCCATCAGAGTCCAAAGGAGACAGGTGGTGCTGATGGTGGTGGTGGTGGTGGGTGGTTTGACTCTCCGGGCACATGTTGCCTCGTATCTCTCCCTCGGAGTGCTTTGCTGCTTCACCCAGGCTGGCTTGCCCGCCCTGTGTGGACATATCACGTTGCATGTAGGATCCATAACAATGAGAGAGAAGTGTGAAGGAAACCTGGAGGGGTGGTTGGGGCAAGATGAAGGGTTAGACCCACCAACAGCTGTTTGGCATTTTAAGACCTTCACAATCAGACGTTCAACACAAACATCTATTTCTTATCCAAACTTGGGAAAAATACCCATTATTATTGTTCCACAAAAACTGGTGGGAAGCTCTGAAAATTGTTCCTCCACAGGGTCTCCTTTCTCTCCCAGGGCGGGTCAGCAGGTCAAAAAAAGCCACGCTGTCGTAAAAAAAAAAAGAGGCACTTTCCGGCGGGGCTTTCTTTTACTGCAGTGTGGCACGCCACCTTTCCTACTCCCCGGGCCGCGGTGCGGTGGCGACGTGCTTTGCGGCAGTGTGGCCCAGGGGCAGCGGCGGAAGAGGAATCCAGAGCCTAACGTTGAGCGTTGAAGCGGCGGTGGGTCTCGGAAATTATGGACGTAGGAGAGCTGCTGAACTACCAGGTGAGAGGTGGCTTCAGAGAGGACTTTGGGTGAGGGGCGGGCCGGTGGGCTTTCCTCTCTCGTCGCGGAGGAGGTCCCCGCGGCCTGACCCTGCCTCCCGAGGGGGTCTGGGACCCTGTGCTGAACACTCCCTCTCGGTGCGGTTCCCCACCCTCAGACCCGGCGCAAGCGCAGACAGGGGCCTTACCCTGAGGTCCCCGGCCCCTCTGCTCCACGCTAGGCCCCTGGGGGACTGGCGCATCTTTTGCTCTGGAAGTTCCCAGAAGAGGCTGTGCTGTCCGTAATTATGAAGTGGAAAGAGACCTGGATTTAAAGCCAGAAGATGTGGACTCAAGTTCTAGTTGTACAACTTTACAAGATGTGTGACCTTGGGCAATTCACTTCCCCTCGCCTCCCCTCAGTATCCTCTCAGGTTGGACTAGGTGGTCTCTTCCTACTCTGACTTTTTGTCTCATAGAGGCCCTTAGAACTTTGTCATTTCATAATATGTATTTTAAAAAGTCCCTTTCTGTTATGATTTCTGCTTGTATGTCCTGTAGGCATTTCATACTCCCCAAGTCCCATCTACATTATCCCTCTGCCAAACTTTAAAATTTCTCTTGAGGGTACCACCATCCTTCCAAACACTCAGTTTTACAATCTTGGAGGCATCTTGACTTCTCTCTCCTGCAGCCCCTGTATACAGTTAGACGGGAAGTCTTGTCCATTCCACCCCCTCCCCCAACTCCCATAGCTGCCATTTTCGTTTCAAGCCCTTATCACCCCTCATCTGGACTATTCAAATAGTCTTCTAAATGGTCTTCTTGTACCCAGTCTTTCCCCTTTACAGTCCAGCCTCCGCAAAACTGCCAGTGATATTCCTAAAGCATAGGTCTGACCATATCATTCTTCTGTTCAGGAAGCTTCAGTGGTTTCCTCTGGTCTTAAAATACAAATGACTTGTTTTGGCATTTAAAGTCCTTAATAATGATACTCAAACCTACTTTTCCAGGCTTAGTACACATTATTTCTCTTTCTGAACTTTAATGTTGCCACCAATCTGGCCTTGCTGTTTCTCATAGGACAGTTCCTCTTCTCCTGACTAGGTGCCTTTGTATGGACCATTCCCCATGTATATAATTCACTTCCTTCTCACCTCTGCCTCTTAAAATCACATCTCCTTTCAAACTAGCCTGAAACACCACCTCTTACATGAGACCTTACTTGATTCTCTCCTGCCCTGCTTAATAGAGCCCCTCAGTTGCCTTGTATTTACTTTATAAATAATTTGTGTGCTCATGTTTCCCTTTGTATACTCAGGGTTTAGTACTGTGTCTGGAATAAAATAGGCATTTAGTAAATGCTTGAAGTTTCATTTGTTGACTGTTGATTGAAATACATCTACATCTCTCCCCTCATATAGCTACCAATATGGTTCAACACCTATAGTAGAGACTGTTGGATTAGCCATGTGTATGATTTCCCTGTCTCTAGTCTCTTCAATCCATCCTTTATACTCCTTCCAAATTGATTTTTCTGAAACACATCTCTGACCATGTCATTACCCTATTCAGAAATCTTTAGTGGCTTCCTTTTGTCTCTAGAATAAAATACAAACTCCTTAGCTTGACATTTAAAGCTTTCCATGGTGTGCTTCCCACCCATCTCTCCACTGTTTTGAATTCCTCTCTTTCTTACATACCAGTTCAGTTAAATACACCTACTGGCTATACAGCATTCCACCTATCAACTCTGTGTCTTTACACAAGTAGTCTCCCATGTCTGGGTTTTCCTCTCTGCCTAACTCAGTACCTGTACTTCTTTCAGAGTACAGTGCAGGTAGCACTTTCTACATGAGGCCTTTTCTGATCCTTCCTCTTTTCTAGTTGTTATTGCCCTTTCTGATTATTTTATAATTCATCTGTGTATATTTGTATCTCGCCTCCCTTCCCAATTAGAGTATAAATGTTTTCTTTCCTTTCTCTCTCTCCCCATGGAAAAAAAAAAAAAAGAAAAACAAAATCCTTGTAACAAATATACATAGTCAAGAAATACAAATGACCACATTGACCATGTTTAAAAAATTGATATCTCATTCTGTACTCTTGAGTCCATCACCAGGAAGTGGGTAGCATGCTTCATTAGACCTCTGGTGTCCTGGTTGGTCATTGCATTGAGTTCGAGATCATTTAGAGTTGTTTGTCTTTACAGTATTACTACTATTGTATAAATTGTTCTCCTGGTTCTACTCATTTCACTTTGCATTGGTTCATACAGGTCTTCTCAGAATCCCTGAAACTGTCCCTTTCCTCATTTCTTATAGTACAATAGTATTCCATTACAATAATATACCATATTTAACTCAGCCATTCCCCAGTTGATGGGCATCCCCTCATTTTCTACTTCTTTTACCACCACAAAAAGAGCTGCCATAAGTATTTTTGTACATATGAGTCCTTTTCCTCTTTTTTATGCTCTCAATGAATCAAAAGGCTTAGGGAAGGTGAAACTATAACTATATTTGTAGTCTCTATGAGATTGGTAGAATGACTGGAGATGTAGTTAATGGGCAGATGTCAACTTGGAGGGAGGTCTTTAATGGAATTTAGGGATTTGCGCTTGGATCTATACTTTTTGACATTTTCATCAATGGTCTGGGTGAAGGCATAGGTAGTATCTCTAATTTACAAATGACACAAAATTGGGAAAGAGAGCTAATTGATTGGAAGATAAGATGCAACAATGCAGCAGACTAGAATGATGGTCTGAATATAGCAAGATGAAAGTAGTGAAGATAAAATTATGATCCTAGACTTGAATTTAAAAAAAAAATCCCATCTTAAAGAGAAGATTGGAGAGGAATGGCAAGTCAGTGGATCATACAAAAAAATCTTAGGGTCTTAGTGTTCTGCAAGCTCAGTAATCAGGGTGACAGACAAAAAGGTAATGCAGTCGTGGATTGCACTAGAAGAATTGTGTTAAAAAAAGTTGATGTTCTCACTCTATTTTCACCTAAGTTCACATCTGTAGTATTTTGTTTAGTTTTGGGTGTCCCATTTTAGGAAGGGTATTGTCAAGCTGGAGCAGGCAGAGGAGGGTGACCAGGATGTGAAGAGATCATGGCATACAAGTTGATGGAAATGAGAATGATTACTCTGTTAAGAGATTTGGGCATCATAATAGTCACCTTGAGTTGTGTGAAGGGCTATCAGTGGAAGTGTAGCTAGACTTGTTCTACTTGGCCTGAGGAGAGCAGAATTAGAAGTAATGGGTAGAAGTTGTAGGAAGACAAATTTTGATTTGTTGTAAGAAAAACATTTTCTAGCAAAACTGTACAGTAGTAGAACAGGCTATCTCAGGAAGTAGTAGGTTAAACTTCATTAGAAGTCTTCAAGGAGAAACTGGATGAGCACTTGCCAAGGATTTTGTAGAGGGATTCCTTTTTGGCATGGGTTGTACTCCCTGGCGTCTGAGTTTCTTTTCTTTTTAGTCCTGGGATTCATTCACTCATAAATCTTTTTTTTAAAATTTTTTTATTAATTTATTTTGATTTATCAACAATCACTTCCATAAGTTTTTGAGCTTTAAATTTTTCTCCCCCTCCCTCCCACTCACAAATCTTTTACTAAGTTCCTGCTGTGTACAGAGGATAGTGCTAGGTGCTGAGGAATGTTTAGATAAGATACAGCCCTTGTCCTCTTGGAATTTACTATGTAGTAGAAAGATGAGGCATACATACAGTTGACCCTGGAATACAATATTAAATGTTAAATGCATAAAACCTTCAGTAATCTTTGTTTTAAAGTTTCTTTGTGCTCTGATATTTCATGTTCTATGTCCTAAGGTTCTTTCAGGATGTAATCTAAACATCTGTGATATAGTCAAGAGTGTGCTTCTATGATAATTCAGTACATGCTATTATAGAATTTCAGATGTCTTCTGGTTCAAGCTCTATTTGAGCAAGTATCCTCAACAAGAAGAATCCTTCTGCCTCCTCAGTGAAGATTTTCTGTGATGGGGTACTAAACATCTTCTCAGTCATTGTCCTTTCTACTTTTTGATAGCTCTAATATTTAGGGATTTTTTTTTCCTTGTGTATAATTGAAATCTGCTACTATTATCACCTAGGTGTAAGCTTGAAGGCAGGGATTATTTTTTGATTCCTTTTTATCATGAGTGCCTAGGGCATAGTAGGCACTGACTAAATACTTGTTCAGTATTATTCAGTATTATAATAGTTGACATTTATATGTTGTGATCATGTAAAGGTTTGCAAAATGTTTTAGAAACATTGCTCACAATAACCCTATGAGATAGATGCTTATCTTCATTTTACAGATAAGGAAACTGTGGCTTAGTGAGGTTAGCTGACTTTCCCCTAGTCACACAGTGGGTCAGTGGTGGGATCTAGACCCCGGTCTCCCCTGATGCCTGGTCTAGCACTCTTTCTAAACCACCACCACCGCAATGCCTTTAATTCTGTTATTTGAGGTTAGGTAGAACAAACCAAATACTCCTACATTATAACTCTTTAGATACTTGAAGACAGTTGAGATTTCCTCATAAAATTTTCCTTTTTCAGTTCCATCCATATTTATTAAACGATTGCTGAGTACAAGGAACTGTGCTAGGTGTTAGGAATAAAAAGACATTAAAAACCATCCCTTCCCACAAGAAGCTTACATTCCACTTAGGTTATATAATATATAAATAGTTAAGTTGATGCATACATGTGAGAATATGATAAGAGTGAGAGCACTTTAGGCTAATTAACCTTGATTTCTTCATTGGGTCTCTATATAGATAGTGTGGACCCAGGGCCCCTGCTCTACATTGACTCTCAGGCCTACTACCACCTTTTCAACAATCTTTGGTCAGGGGCATGGCTGCTTACACCATTTTTATGAGCAGGGAATTACTAATTACAGTCCTTCCAGTGGTATGGTACACAGCTACTCCCTACTGTCCACACTGCCATTCTTCCTTATGGTCCACTGGACTTTCTGTCTTCTGAACCCCCC